AAGTTGTACAATCAGTCATTCAATGTGTGTCTTCCCTGTTCTTTGTAATAATATATTAGCAGATAATAGCCATTTAATCTTGTAGGTGCTTACAAATTGATCTTATTCATAATGCCACCTAGGAATACATTAGAATACATATTTGGACACCTACCTGTTGTTCTTACTGCTAATTAAGATGTTCCTCACAGTGATTAACCCATTATACATAGTTCTCAATGAGAGCTTGTTGAATTTTACAGAATTCGTACCAAGTGGTTTAGTTGTTTCTATCAGAAGTTCCCAAAGGAAGGTGGTGGTAGGGGAACACTACTAGTAACAAGTAGTATATTCTTTTGCTCCCAAAAGGGTCTTAAAGATTCCACTTCATTCCACATACCTCTGTTATATGTGGGAGTGAAAATGTTGTATGGCAATATAATGGCTTTCTGGCTCCAGTCTACATGATCCTGTGCAATATCATTAACCAATAGTTCATATTTTTTATTAACCTTTGTCATATGTTACATGCCATCAAGTTGGAACCGACTTATAATGACCCTCATAGGGCTTCCAAGGTAAGTGAGATATTTTGAAGGAGTAGTTTTTACCACTTCCACACCCCATCTTCCATGGCTGAGCAGGAATTCAAACCCAGGCCTCTTGAGTCCTAGGTCTCTCACTCTATCCACACCACACTGGGTAGGTATCCTTTGTAGTTGAAGGCATACATAAATTGTATTATGATGAACAACAGGTTCAGGCATTATACATTGCCTGTTGCCAATTACAAAATAAACAAAGAACAGTAAGAAACAGCCCTGGAGACAGGTCTTGGCAGTTTGTCAATTTCTTATACTTGAATGCTTGAATAAGTTTTTTTCCCTCCCCCTTTCCTGTTATCTCGAGATCTAGTATGGCCAATTGAGTACATTAGTTCTAGAGAAACTCTTCTAGTTTTTATGTCAGGTTTACAAGAACAAGATGGTGTCTTAAACAAACTGCATGATATACATCTTAGGACAGCAACAATCTGAGCTGGTTAGGTCTGAGATACTACTGAGTCAACTACTGGTTTTGTGACGGTTGAAGGTCTTAAACAGAACTGTACTGTTCTCTTAAGTGTCCCCAAATGGTCATGGTTTGGTGCAATTATCTCTAAACTAATATTTGCAGTGATTAGAATAGCCAACTCACCTAACAATCAGTTGTCCTCCCTGTGTGTTCATGAATATCATTGTGTCATCCATTTGTATTTTATAAAAGGCAAACTAAGTGAAGACACACTGGTAGTAGTAAATTAGTACAAACTGATTTATGCACAATCTTTGTCTTTGAGTAATTGGATATCAATTTTAGGCATGCCTTGAAATGACAGCAAAAGGATCCTGAGTCTGTTGGTTAAAGTTCGTTTATAAAATAACTGCATAAGCTTTTCTTCAGAGTTGCTAATTATTTCTTCATTGGCATATACTGCTTTTCAAAAAATAATCAGGAGGCTAAAGGTGGGGGTGTTTCTGGAGGCAAATAGCAAACCTAGGGCTAATCTGGGCTAAGCAGCATTTCACCTGAGAACAACTGAAGGTAAGAACACAATTCTTGAATCTTCAGCTGTAGAGATAGCTCAGTAAAGATACAAGGTAAAACCCAGTGCTACACTACTCAACCTCCCCTATTTAGATAACTTATGCATTTCATATTTTAATCTGAATTTTCCTGTTGGTATCAAAATTTGCTCAGTCCTCATAAGAAAAGAAAGACCTGAAGAAAAAAAGCCTGTTCTAATTAGGACTGTCTGGCTTGTAAGCTGTAAGGCAGGAAGCCCACATATTGGCTGAAATCCTGTTACTGAGCATAGTAGGCAACTAGAGTTTGGCCCATTGAATTAACTGTGATTTGGTGAGTTAACCTCTGTAAGTTCCACTGATTCAATGAGCCTACTCGTGGTTACACCAAGCAACCAGATTTCAGCTATTACATCTAAATACTATAAGTGGTTTAAATACCATATTACATTTGATTACTATAGGGATGGAAGAGAGTATAGAGCAGTGTTCCCCAACGTTTTTCGGACCGCGGACCGGTTCGGGGATGCTGGCTCCCTGCGCGGACCGGTTGAGGGGTGGGGGCACCCCCGTGCTCACGGGGTGGGCATGTCACGCTTGTGCGCATGCATGACACGCCCCTTGCGCTCATGCGTGAACCACCTCTTGGCCGAGCCCGGCCTTGAACGGAGGGGTGGTGGCTTCACCATGGCGGCCAGCAGCCAGGAGCAGGCTGGAGCCGGAGCAGAGGGCAATGACCTCGCTTCCTCCCAAGAACTGTGCCTCTCCCAGGGGGCCCCTGTCTGTGCTCCTAGGCATAAGAGCCACTCGACCACTCCAACAAAGACGCCTGTAATTCCCCTTACACAGGTGCAAGTACAAATGCATGTACAAATGGGAGGGGGGAGCCCTATTAGTCCCTGTAGGGATGGAGCAGTGCGACCCCGACCCGGGCTGGCTGCCGTATTCCTTCATGTAGGGGCGTCTATAGCGGAGCGATGGGAAACCCTTCCCTATTCTCTGCCTTGAATGCAAGGATCCGAGGGAGCGACAATGGGGTGGGCAAGGGAGGCGAAGCCTGTGTGTGTGTGTGTCGGGAAATGGGGAAGCGGGCAGGGGCTCAGGCACCGACCTCCATGGGCTCGGAGGACTCCTCTTCCTCCTGCTCAAACTCTTTGTCTGGGCTGAAGCTGAGCTTGCCCAGGCCTTCCTCATCCGGTTCCTGCTGCCCCACTTGTTGTAGTGAGGTGATGGAGGGTGAGGTGGCCCAGGAGCACGCCAGCTCCAGCCTCACCTCGCCGGGCCCACCCCAGGCCGTGCTCTTTGGGACTGCATGGCGAGGAGAGCCAGGAAGGAGCCCGCAGTGTCCCCTCACCGCCTCCCCTCCCCGGGGCCTTCCTTCCCGCCCAGAAGTGACTCGCCTGCTCCCTCAGGGGAAAAGCTGGCCCCTGAGCACCGCATTGCCCAGCAACAAGGGAGGGCACGCTGCCGGGCCTGCTGGGAGATGGAGTCTGTGTGCCTCACTGTGGCCATGGGAACTGTAGTTTGCCCAGACTCTCCCCCCCCCGAGGTTGTCGCTGCTCCTGGCCGCTGGTGAAGGTTCCTGCCCTGGGCTTCGCTAGGACCAGTAGGATGACCATCAGCTGCCCCTTCCACCTTGATCAAAGAGATCTGGCGGCGGCGGTCATGAGCCTGGACTCCCCGCCTTCCCTGCAACCAGCAGCAGCTCCCCTCCTCGTGGCTGGGGGCCAGGTAGTGTGGGAGGAAGCAGCCGCTGCCGCCAGGCAGCCACAAGGAGCTGAGCTGCCGCTGGTTGCAGGGAAGGCGAGGAGTCCAGGCTCGTGACTGCAGGCGCCAGATGTCTTTGATCAAGGTGGAAGGGGGTGCAGAGATTGAGGTAGCAGGCGGCGGAGGCCGGCCTGGCTGGTCTGCAGCACCCGCTGGTGCTCCAGGGCCGCCACTTCGGCAGCATACTCAGCCAAGAAGGCACGGAAGCCCTCATCCGGGAAGGCCTGGCTCAGGCGCTCTGCCCGTCAGCTTGAGGTCCTCCAGGGTTGAGCAGGCTGCCATGGTGAAGCTGCCTCCCCTCCGCTGAAGGCTGGGCTCGCCCAAGAGGTCGGTGTGTCACGCATGAGCATGAGGGGGCATGTCACACTCGCACACAAGCTTGAAATATCCACCAGAAAGCGCGACATGCCCCCCCCCGTGTGGGTGGGCGAGGGGGGCGGTGATCCCTGTCCGCGGCCCAGTCCAAGGCAGCCCATAGACCGGCACCGGGCCGCGGACCGGGGGTTGGGGACCCCTGGTATAGAGAATTAAGGAAATGTCTGGCTATCTAAAATAGCAAACCTGCATACTAATAGGGCTTTGGGGGAAGCACCTCAAGATCCCCTTCATAAAGATACATTTAAACAAACCTATTTTTAGTCTGCAGCACTGACTTCAGACATTAGGTGGTCAAATCAGGAGAGAGGAAGATGCAGTCTGTCTGGTTTGCCATATTTATTTTGTCAGGGAGCCCCTAAATCGCTCCGAGTGAGCCACTAGCACACAAGGAAAAACAGCAGCTGAGGCAAGGGTGCTGCTTCCCTCGCCAGGGCCTCCAGTTTAGAAAAAAAATATAAAAAAGATTGCTGCTGTGTGGTTAGGGTGGGGAGAACAGAGAGAGCAGGTGGAAAGGCTGAACAGGCACTCAGGTGGAAGAATTGAGAGGGGGGAGAGAAAAAACAAATACCACAGGGCAACAGAGCACTAAGATGAGAGACAGAAGGACTAGTAATAGCTATGCAAACAAAGAGTATCTGGGTGGGTTAATGGTTGCTGCAGGAATTCTAACCTTTGTGAAGCTGGGCATGTGCAATCTTCCAGGGACAAAAGGTGGTTCAAGGTGAGGAAATCATATTGATGTGCAACCTAACTTCCCAATCTTTGCAGTCTACTGGCCAGAATCCTATTGTTGGTGTAACTCATACGGGTAACTTCTGATAGCCAACTGCTTCAAGTTATGAAGTCGTTTTATGTTGCATACCAAGTGGTACAATTCAGTGTGCAACAAATAATGTCACACTGACTTTGTAACGTGCAACAACTTAACTGCCAAAAACTATATACCACTTGAATTATTCGAGGAATAGAAATTTAGCAAAAGTAAGAATATTTCTACTTTCCTTCCGATGATACCTTTATACATTTTTCTACCTTTGGTGTTAAAACCATGCAGAATAATGAGAAAATAAGATCTGCGCTACAGCACTAAGTATCCTGGGGGACCTAGGCTACAGTCTTGTTGGGAAAAGGGGGAACAGAACGGCAATTACACAAGGGTTTTTCTTGTTCTCTGGCAAGCAAGTAGGGAACTTCTTCCACCATCTTCAGAACAATACATTTGACCACAGCACAACTCTGCTCCCTCCCAAAAACACCTCACAAGTGTCAAAACAATAAAAAACACTTTATTAAGTGTATACAGTACTTGTATTTAAATATAAAGCATAATTCAATATAGACTGCAGAATCTGTAGTCTTAAATCAATGTGCATTTAAATCCTATCTTAACTGAACTATTGCTTTCAGAAATAAAATTGTAATGTCTCAAGAGGCTGATTTGCCAGATTTCCTTAACCTTTGTATGTTTCAAAAAGGCTATGTATACTTGGGCATTAGAACCATTCTGCATAATTCCACTATCTGGCTTTTATATACTAATCTCAATGAACAGATAATGAAGAGAACAAGTTTCTTTTCTTTCTTTTTTTAAATTTCATTGTTTTTTTCCTGTCAAATGCAAAATTAGGTGGATTCGTGTGTGATGTTAGGTTGATGTGTCTTGAGCAATTTCACTACTGGTTACTCTTCCAAATCATGTTCAGTGCAATCCCACTTAAAAGGGTGGACCGGCATAAACACTTGGCATTACTTTTCTTCTACATTTGCTACCATGGCCTCTACCGCATTCCAGTCAAGCTTGCTAAGGATGCTGCTGGTACTTTCAGACACACTATCAAAATGATTAAGGCTGGCAATGGAGCAACCATCTTCTTGAGATGTCTCCTATAAAAAAAAAAAGCAGAAATGTCATTGGAAGAGGAGGCAGAAATGTCTTTTTACAGTCCAGCAAGAACACCTTGAAGTGGTGGTTCCCCTTGAGCTAAAATCAGGGAAGGTTTATAGTGATACCTCTCCAAAGGGGCAATTATATGCAATGAATCAATTTTCTCTCTGTGCCCCTAACCATCACCTTTAAGGTAGACTGGGCATCATCTAACACCACAGCAAGACACCAGCAGGAAAAGGACAGGTTACTTACCTGTAAACATAGTTCTTCAAGTGGATTCTCTATGAATACACACTCGGGAGGAGCGTGCACAGTATAGGGCAACCTAAACTTTGTATCTTTTTCTCAACAGCTCTAGAAAATTCCGAGAGGACCAGCGCAGGCGCTGTTAAACCCCCCCACCAGCGTGGATTCATAGAGAACCACGTTGAAGAAGAACAAGTTGCGTATAACAAGACAACAATGACCATCATTGCACAGTACTGTATAACATGTAACTTGAATGAAGCATCAGGGTTCCTGACCATAGCAATTTCCTGCAAAATATGGCATGTGACAACTGATAGAAGATTGCATATGTCTGACCAGCGCATGTCTCTAGAACCTTCTTGGATCTTGGGAGAGTTGAATGTATTAGTTTAGCAGGTATGAGAGGTTATTTCTTCTGGAGAAAGGAAAGGAGTGAATACTAAAAAGCATCCCTGTTATTTTGCCAAAAAGCTTATACAAAAGCAAAAAACAAATGCTGAAGCCAACTCAGAGGCATGCCCACAAAATCAGGCAAAAGATATCTGGTAAACAAGTGAGCTTCTCATCTGACAGTCAGCCTGGGGTTCTTTTAACATTCCTTGGAGTAAAATTGCCCTAGAGTGGATTCAGACATCAGCCTCAGCAACCAAACTGAGAAGAAGCAAACAGGAAATACCTATCAAAGTTTGCTCAGTGGTGGATGTTTTCTGATGCCAGTGTCTTTTGCCAGCCTGGTGGTTAGCCTTGTAACAACTGAAAAGTTGTGTAGGTGTCAATTTCCCAATATTCATTAACACTGATAATTATGAATGTCATCCTCTTCAGATGGGGTGGGACAGTTAGGCTGAGGATCAGAGGGCTTAAAAAGAGCCAGTACGGTGTACTGATTAGAGTGCTGAATTAGGATGCAGGAGGACCTGTGTTCAGCTTCCCACTTAGCCATGAAACTCTTTGTGTGACCTTGGACCTGTCATACTGATTCAGCCTGACTTACTTCCTAGGAGTATTGTGAGATTAAATTGGGAAGGAATAAAAGAGCTATCTATATATAGCTCTTTGAGCTCACTGGAGGAAAGGTGGAATGTATGAAACAAAAAAACAAAACAGCAACAACAAAAGGGCAAAATTCTAAAAAGAACATGAACTATGAGAAACCATGAATAATCAAAAAAGCCCTCCTTGCTTTGAGAACCTGATGTGCCTGAAAAGATATGTCAACAGAAGATGATATGATTAAAAGGATGGTGGGAAAGAGGAATAATGTGGTCTCCTAGAGCAACATGTGGTCTCTTACAGCAACATTGCACTTTGTATGGACAATCATCTTGCCTTTTTCAAAGCACAGTATCTTGTCGTTCAAGTCAACATGTTGAGGATTCACTTAGAATGGACCGTTCTGGTAGCTTGCTATTGCTTAAGGCCACCAGTGGCAAAACTTTTTTGGAACACACTCTTCTTCCTCTTCTCATTCTTCCCCTACTGGAGGCTGAAGGTCATTACTGCTATTCTGACTTTGGTTTGGATGTTGCACAACATCATTGTGACAAGTTGCAGCATCTAATCTCCAGCATCTTTCAGCCAACAAGTTCCTGTCAGATTAGAGGTTGAGGGGGAAGTGGGAGGGCTATCCTTTCCCCAGCAAATTCCTACCCCAAAGAGTAGACACCAAAGGGATTGTAATTTCTGTGATTCATCCACATTTGACATCCACAAGGAAAAATTTATAAGTCGTGGAAATTCAAATGAATTAATTGCATTCAGTGCAGATTCTCCAATTTTAAATTTTGTTGTAGTATGCAAAGTCCAGGTGCAATGGTCCATTTAAAAATATCCTTGTCCAGGTTGCATTAGTAAAAACACACTGCAAGCCAAGTCTTGCTGTTTGCTATCTTTCTATTGCCAAATATACTTCAGATATTCAGAACCCGAAGCCTAGTTAACGTCACACTAATATGGGTGGCTGTGGTTTCTAGACCTGTCAAAGTATCAATTCAAGAGATGTGGCAGATCTCTCATGTGAGATGCTCCCTTGCAAACGATTGCACCTTAACTGATATTGTTCTGACCTTCAGCCTGAGGAGGAATGGCTTGTAATAATCATTATGTTTTAATGACACTTTTGCTGCCTCCGTACTTTTGCAAATGGCTTCCAACAAGAGGCACGGGACTCCCTAAATGTTTCACACTTGGTCCAGCCAGAGGCAGGAACACTGGGGATCATAGCAGTTAGTGGATTCTATAGGTAGGCCTGGCTCATAATTTAAGTATAAATATGCTTAATAAAGGCATAAAAATGCTGAATGGCCACAAGACAACCATTCTTGGGATGTGAGGGGTGACGGTTTGTCGCCTGTCATCCCTTGAGAGATCCCAGGGAAGAAAGACATCTGGAGGACCAAAAGCAAAAATAACCAGACTGCCACCATGAGGATACCCATAAATAAGAACAGTATTAAGAACCTCTGGCATGCTTGCCACAGCTTGCATTTTAAAAATGTGAACATGAAATTGATTCAAACTTCAGTGATTAGAACCAAAAGATATTGTAATTTTTATATGACAGCTGATTAGGAGAAAGTAACAACCCGGAAAACTAAGGGAATTTACTACTCTCACCTTATTAAAATTAGAACTGCCATACAGTATTTGCTGGATCTCATCAGGAACACTCCAGCTGCTCATGGCACCATCATCACTCTCCTCACTGGCCTGAGTTGCTGTTTCAGCAGTTGGGAGACTTCTCTGATTCACCGATTTCCTTGTCTGGTGAGAAGCTGGAAGGGAGTAAAGTGTTCCAGAGGTTATCAAATAAATGTTAGAAAAAAAAACATTATTTATTTATGGTAAAAAATGAAAAGAAAGACCCAGAGCAGGTAGGTGCAAAATAGAAACACCATTGAATCTGGTTGAATGAACACTGAGAGAATGGGTACCTAAGGCAAATCATAACAGCTGAGTGAAACTTTTTAAAAAGAAGCAGCTATTCTACAAAAAAAAACCCACCACCCTTCAATTTGGCTTGAGAATGATTCTATTGCATGGCATGGCATCGTGAACTTTAAGACAGGCAACTATATAAACAGTTAGAAGTATCTGAAATGTCAATTTATTAGACTGAGAGAGTGATGAACAATGAAATACAGTGGTGCCTCGCTGTGTGAAAGCATCGTTGAACGGGGCAAGAAAACCAATTGGAACGCATTAAACAGTGTTTAATGCGTTCCAATTGGGCTGAATACTCACCGTTCAACGATGCTTCCGGGCGGCTGGCAGCCATTTTCGTGCCCTCCCCTCGCTGAACGAGGGCGCGAAAATGGCTGCGATCAGCTGTTCGGCGGGTCCAAAATGGCCGCCGGAACAGCCGAAATGGCCGGCCACAGCGTTTTCGCGCCCTTGGTAAGCGAGGGGAGGGCGTGAAAACGCTGCACGCAGCCATTCCGGCTGT